GTGGGGACGCGCTGGGGAGGGAGGGCGGTTCAGGGTTTCCTGGCTGCTTTGTCGCTGGGCCTCCTGGCTTCCCCTTCCCGTGGCCACCAGCCCCCTCCCTGGGCTCCGCACGCAGCTTTCTCCTTGCTGTGGTGGCACCGAGCCCGGCCAAAGCCCTGTTCATGGGGCCAGGGTCTGTCCCCTGTCCCTCGCAGCACCCCGTGGGCTGGGGGGTCCTTTCATGGACAGACGTCGGGTGCGTGGGGTTGAGTCTCCTTTTAGCTTCCAGCTCTCCGGGAGGAGGTGGTGTGGCTCACCTGTACCTGCTGAAGAGAAGTCTGTGCTTCATTCTGTCAGTATTTAAATTCAAACCTGATGTTAGAAGTACTTTTTTTTTTTTTAAAAAAAAAAAGTTGGACTCACCTTTTAAAATATTACCATGTGCTCTCTTTATAGAGCCTTAAGCGAAGGAATATCTAGAAGTTTCCAAAGAGCTGTTTGATCATTTTCAACTAAGAATGTATTCTTTAAAGATCTTGTCTCTTAGAATGAGTATTTTCAAGAACTTACGTTAACTTGATGATGCTCAAAACCTTACTTAGTGCAAGACAGAACTTGGAACTCCCTGTTTGAGCTGATTTACATGTTTATGTCTTGGCTGCATTCACTTGTTTCAGTTTGTGTCCACAAAAGCCTGTCTGTCAGTAAAGAAAACCAGGGAAAAGCTGCTGTTTGATTAAAAAGGAGAAGCGAAATTTTAAACTTTTTCATATTCTCGTGCATTAACACCAGAGAAAAGAATTAATCACTGCGCTGAGGGAGACCCCGCAGTGCCTGTGCCCCTCACCTCCCATAGGACCCCCAGCTCCGGCGTGGGCACTGCGCCTCGGGATGAGGGGCACATCGGCCTCTGACCCAGGGCTGGGTACACCGAGGCCAGCCTTGGGGTGTCATGGGTGCCCCGTGTCCATGAACCCCAAAGAACTGCAGGCTGTGGGAGGTCACCAGGGTGTGAGGAGATCCTGGTTGTGCTGCCTCAAGACATCTCCCAGCTGAGATGTTCTCCTCCGGTCGCGGCTGCCTGGGCTCAACCCAGCCGTCCCTGTGGTGGGTTGGCTCCACGCAGGGTCACGACTGGGGAGAGGGTGTCCTAAATCCATCTGCTGCAGCAGGGGCTGCCAGCCTGGGAGCTGTGGTTCAGGTTGGACGCTTGTTCTCCTGCCTCAGATCATCACTGTGGAAGAAGCAAAACGGCGGAAGAGCGTTTGCAGTTACTACGAAGAGGAGGATGACGATTCTCTGCCTGTCTTAAAGCATCACAGCGCTCTGCTGGAGAACATGCACATCGAGCAGGTACGGCCAGGAGAGCCCCCGCTCCCCCCCAGCCCTGGCGCTGGCTCTGCCGGGGACACACTGCCTTCTGCAGGCACCACCAGCTCCTCCTCGGAGCTTGGGCAGAGCTTGGTGTGATGGGGTGTCCCCGTGCCAGGCCCTGTTGGTGCTGCCCCACCTGGGAACCCCGCTTTTGTGTTTGCAGCTCAGTGCAGCCCCGTGGTGCTGAGCTGCTGGCATTTTGTGGCTGTGTAGCCCCTGCAGCAAGGGGACAGTCAGGGCAGCAGCCCTGGCCCACCTGCCGTGTGTGTGACCATTTCTCTCTGTTGGTTGCCCAGCTGGCCCGGCGCTTGCCCGCCCGAGTGCAGGGCTACCCGTGGCGGCTGGCGTACAGCACCCTGGAGCACGGCACCAGCCTCAAGACTCTCTACCGAAAATCAGCGGCTCTCGACAGCCCCGTTCTCCTGGTCATCAAGGACATGGACAACCAGGTGAGGAGCACTTGTCCTGCGGGGGTGGACTGAAGGGACAGCTTTACCAAAAGGGATGACTACGAAGGGCTAGTCATACCGTGAAGTGATGTCACACCGAAATGAGACACTGGGGGTTTCTTTTATATCTTCTACTGCTTAAAGTAAATGTAAAGGCAGGAAAGTACATCAGCACTAATGGAAATGCCCCTCCCAAGCTTCCTAATTGCCATGAATGCTCCTTTAATAGTGCCCAGGGCAGTATCTTCCCCGAGTTCTGGGCTGAGAGTGCCCCAGACAGGTTTCTGTAGAGGTCCCGTGCTGCCCCTTGTCCTCCGGCTCCAGCCTGCAGGACACAGAGGGTTTGCAGGAGCACTTGCCCCTCTGGTGCACCTCACGGGTTGGTTCTTTGAACATGAAACACCAGCTCAGCTGTTCTTTAGAAAGCATCTTGAAATGTTTGGGGTTTTTTCTCTTGAATTAAAGTGGTTTAATCGTGTTATTCTGGCAGATCTTTGGAGCGTACGCGACACATCCCTTCAGGTTTAGCGACCATTACTATGGCACTGGCGAGACATTCCTCTACACCTTCTGTCCACATTTCAAGGTAAGCGGGTGCTCACTTTCTTAAATAAGATTTTTGGATGCCACTTCTGAAACATCGATGAAATGTTTATGGACAGCGTATTTGGGTGCAGAAGATGTGCTGCCTGTTGGTGAATGCAGTTAATCACTTACTGCTCCAATGCAGTGCGTTAATCAGCAGGGGCTGTAATTATCCAAATGCCGAGAGCAGTCTGTGAGGGTGGGGAGAGGGTTTCAGTGGGCTGAGGGGGCGCAGGGAGGGGTGAGAAGACCCCCTAATGCCCATGGCTGCTGCGTGTTTCAGTATTGCACACATTGTGCCTTTAACAGAGCACCTGTTGATTCAGAGGTACAAGCAGAATTTCAAAAGGATTAGGATGCCTTGTTTATAGTTTAAATTGTATATTGTTCCTCTGCTTTCTGCCTATTTCCTCCTTCTTCTCCCCCTTCAAGAAAAAAATGAAATAAAATATGACCACAGCAAAAAGCACCTGCTAAGAGTCAGTCCCAGTAGTTTTCGAGTGCAGGAATCCTCACAGTCCAAATGTATCTGGTTCCCCCCAGGTGTTCAAATGGAGTGGCGAGAACACCTACTTCATCAATGGAGACACCAGCTCTCTGGAGCTGGGAGGAGGAGGGTGAGTGAATGTCTGGGTTTCCATTCTGGGGTGACTTGTATTTTAATGAGAATGGGGACAACGTAGTTTCAGGAAAAGGGAATCAGTAAAATGGCTGAACTTTTAGCAAACTGTTTAGTGCAGATAGCACAGTAATCTGATTTCTGTTACAGACCCAGCACTTCCCACTGCTTACAGAGAGTGAATGATGTTGGGCAAGTAAATATTTGGGGTTTTTGAGATGAGAAAAGAGTCAGATGATTTGGGTAGATGCATGCCTCATTGCTGAATAGATTTGCCCCTGGAAGATACTCTCTAAGGGTAGTTTTGCCATCAGCTGCTGAGGTTTCTCACGTGGTCCTTATGAAATGGTCATTATTCTGTAGCTGCACAGAGCGAGGATACAGGCGGTGCCTGTCAGCTCCTAAATTTCCCCGGTCAGTGGGTGTGAGATCAAGGGCTGAGCTGCTTGACTCCAGCCGACTGTGGGCTGCTCCACGGCGTGTGTAGGCATGGTTTGCATTGAGGGGAAGGGGGTGTAGGCACCCCTCCTCCTCCTCCTGAGCCAGAATGGAGCGGTGTCACCTCTGCTGGTGGTACCAGCAGGTTCTGGTATTTGCAGTGTGAGATCTAACCTGGAGGCTGCTGTGTGTTCCCTTCCCAGCGGCCGGTTTGGGCTGTGGCTGGATGCAGATCTGTATCACGGGCGCAGCAACTCCTGCAGCACCTTCAACAACGACATCCTCTCTAAGCAAGAAGACTTCATAATACAGGACGTGGAAGTGTGGACATTTGAGTGAAACGCTGCCTGTCGTAGGGACTGGACCCACGGGGCACGTAAAAGCCAAGGCGACGGTGCCGGCGGCCTCACGACGTCACACGCTTTTCCCTCCAGTTTGTACCAGAGCATGACTGCGCCAAACCCAGTACCCACCCCCAGGAGACCCGCGCCGGGTCCAGGGGCCGCAGGAGGCGGGACGGCGGGAGGTGGGACTGAGCGTCTGTCCTTCCTCCCCACCGAGGGCCCACGCTGCTGGGAACGCTGATGGTGTGTGAGCTCAAAACTTGGCTGTAACTGTGAAAAAGACCCTGTGGGAGAACTATCACTGTCTCGTACATTCCATGTGTATTTATGTTCAGCCTACAAATGCTAACCAAAAATAAAAGGTTACATTACCAAAACCTACAGCATATTGTTTGCCATGGAAAAGAATCACAAATAGGTGTACACAGCACTTAAGGGAACATGTTTTTTTAAATCTTTTTATTTATTATCATTGTATAGCAATCTTTTTTTGTCAATGTATTAGCTATGAGTTTGTTTTCTTTTAATGTTTCAAATCTCAGTTTGAGAAATAATTACCATTCAGGTAGGTTTCTTATGCATTGGCATTCATTCTGAAGCAATTTATTTGATTTCTGAAGTTAATTTTTATATTTTTTTATTTTGTAAATGAGGTTTTCATTTTACCCGAATTAGAGGGTTTGTTTTGTGGCAGAAACATTTGAGTGCATAATCCTGTTTGGGTTGTTTTCCTGAGACGAGGGAGAAGGTGGATGGTGCTTCTCGTTAGCTCTGCTGCCGCGTCCCTCTTCCCAGGCGATGGCTTTGGCAGCCTGTGCCCAGCCTGGTGCTGTCGGGACCCCACAGCCTCACCATGGGGACGGGGGGCTCAGCCCTGCCCGGGGGTGTCCGACTGTTCACTTGGGGCATTTCCCAGGGAGGCCGGGTTTTCTGTATCAATGAGCCACCCGCTGTGCTTCTGTGAGCACCTCTCTGCAAACAGGAGGATAACCGCCTCGTTAAGGAGAAAACACACCTGAGATTGGAGAAGGTGGCGGTTTCCCCAACAGGCCAGGTCATGTTAGTGTAATACTTGTTTTCTGGGTAATTATACATGTGATTTCCTTCCTGAAAAAGACTTGAAGCAACAGGCTGGCTTAAGATTTGACAGGCAACTCAATATTCTTCTTTGTTCTTCATGAAATACCCAGATACCTTTCCCCCTCTCCCCTCGACACTGAAAGCCTGCACGTTGCACGAGGAGTGTTGGTGAGCAGGGAGAGCGTGGCAGGGGACCGGCACCTCCGCTGTTTGCCAAAGAACCCTGCTCTGGCCGGGAGCCGTGGGCTTGTTTCCCTGGTCCAGACCCCGCCAGGGTGGGGAGACCCCCTGCCCTGGGACCCCAGTGTGCCCTGCTGCTGGGAGAGGGGGGTTTCACAACCAGTGCTGGGCTGCCCGCGTTAAACACTGCACCTGAATTTGGGAATGCTATTAACTGAGCGCTACAGCTCCATTCAGCTACTGCTCTTCCCTTTTTGAGTCGATTTAAAAAGAAAACAAAGCAAGCAGCCAAGTGATTTTCCTTTGGAAGCGCTGCTGGCCCCGGCGCTGAGAAGGAGAGCGAGCCCCTCGTGCTGTGGGGCAGCTGTGCCCCAAATAAACACCTTATTGGCGGGGCTGGAAAACATTTTGGGAGTGTCTAACGGCATAACGCTTGGAAAATACCAGGAATGTCTAATAACGTTTGCTCTTTCAGATGGTGGCAGAACACTTAAAAAAAACCCAAACCCACCAAGTTCGACATTTTCCATCCATTTCACTCTTGCTACCTGCAACTTCCCCCGTCGTCCTGTCCGTGTCGGAGCATACCCAAACGCTGTGGGCTGTATTCAAAACAGTGTTGTTCGAGCGAAATCCTGTGACCCTTGAGACTATGACTATTGAATATATGTAATGCAGTGCTATCACAATATTTTCAATAAAGGAATTTATGCATTCAGAAACTTGTTACAGGGGTTTTCTCTTCACAGATTTTAGTACACCTTAAAGACAAAAGGATGCAGCTTAAGTTACAGGTTATACTGAGGGATGCCTGTGCCCACCCTTCAGAAGCGCCATCCAGCTCTGTTGTATTTTAGAAACCTGGCAAAGGAGGTGGAGCTTCTGGTTGGGTTTCTGTGTGAGGTTTTACATTTGTCAGTGTTGGGTTGATGGTTGGACTTGATGATCTGAAAGGTCCCTTCCGAGGTGGCAATTCTGTGACTCTGTGATCTCCTGAAGCAGCTGTGGTCTGAGTTCACACAGAGTGCTGAGGAACACCAGCAGTGGTTAAAGGGCTGAGCTGGCAGCTCCTGCTGCAGTGAGGGACATCATTCCCTCCTCTTTTCTGACCACCCCGTTCCCAGAAGTCAAAGCTCCCTGTACATCATTTGTGTGTGCACCCTGCTTACATTGCTAAAGTCTTCGTGGGTTTTTCTGTCTCTCCAGGCAAGACAGGGCCCACAATGTTTTCAGAGTACTCGGTTCTTGGCTTTTCTCGGTTTTATGGTACACAGAGGTGGTATTAAGAAAAAACAAAGTAGGCATGAAAGGGAACAAGAATGCCATCTGCGAACCTGCTTCGGGTGAAATGTCTGTAAGAATTTTTTTAATGTCAAAGGAAAATTATAGTCAATAGTAATTTTTCTCAGAAAGCAAAAGCCTGTTCTTGCAATGTGAAGCATGTTCTTTAGTGGGGCTGGGAGAAAGGTTTTTGTTTCTGGAGAGTGTTGAATTGTGGACTGACAGTAAGGTGGGAGCATGTGCTTTCCTGCAGGCACAGCTCGCTTGCTCTGAAAGAAAGGCATCTCTGAAAAACCTCAGTCTAAATTCTGCAGCTCATTACCTCATTAAACACTGCAGCCTCTCGTCTGTGGGACAGATAAGTTGTGCCATTTGGGCTGCACGAAGAACATAAAACATTGAAATTCTGTGGTCAGGGATTCTGCAGCTCTCCTCTAGTGAAGTGCAAACGGTTTGAAATGCAAATTATTAAGAAAGCATTTTTAGAACTTGCAGCTAGCTACCAGTTAGACATACCCTCTGTCGGCTCTGGAAGGAGGTGATTCAAATAAGCTCAGAACGTGTTCATTTTGTTCCTGGTTTCTCCCTTTTTTAGTGCAAACCCGGGGTGAGCGGAGCAGCGTTCTCACTGCTGCTGGGGGGCATCGGTAACGCCGAGTGTGTGGCTGGAGCTTTGCTGCCACACATCAAGGGCCTTTGGCATTTTACCTGCCCGGAGGAGCCTGTCCCCATGAGGGGTGAATCCGAGAAGGCACGCGGCCCTGCCTGGCCTGTGCTAATTAAAGTAATTGGGGTTCATGTCAGAGTTCTGTGGAGCAGGGTGATGTCTGCAGCCTCCCGCCATGGCCTGCGGCCTCTGCCGCTGAGAGGAGGGGGTAGCCAGGGGGGATCGGCCTCTGCTCCCAAGGAACAGGCGATGGACAAGAGGAGATGGCCCCAAGTTGTGCCAGGGGAGGGTTAGGATGGAAATTGGGGAAAAATTCTGCACGGAAAGGGCTGTGAAGCCTTGGAATGGGCTGCCCGGGGGGATCCCTCCCCCGGAGGGATTTACGAGCCGGCGGGCGCGGTGCTGAGGGACACGGTTCGGTGCCGGTTTGACGGCGTTGGGGCGATGGTTGGACTCCATGAGCTTAATCCGGCCGGCCCCTTATCGCCGTCCCTGCCGCGGCCGCCATCTCCCCCCTCCCCTCCCC